TACCGGCAATTCAATTGGCCTGGTATTGGGTGGTGGCGGTGCACGAGGTGCTGCACATATTGGCATGCTAAAAGCGATACAAGAGGCTGGTATACCCATTGATATGGTGGGTGGTGTTAGTATAGGAGCACTAATGGGTGCCTTGTGGTGCTCTGAACGTAATATTACAACAGTTACACAAAAGGCTAGAGAATGGTGTAAAGTAAGTTAATTTAATTGTTAATATTAATATTAAGCCTAAATATATTATTCCTGTGCAGAAAATGACAAAATGGTTTTTACAATTATTGGATCTAACATATCCCATCACTTCAATGTTTTCGGGACGTGAATTTAATAAAACCATACGTGATACATTCGGTGATGTCAGTATCGAAGATCTATGGATTCCTTACTTTACTCTAACTACAGATATTACGGCCAGTTGTCATAGGATACATACAAACGGTAAGTGTTATATTCCGTTTTTATTGTGTTTTTAATTTCGCACTCAACACCACCTACATTATACATCCTTTTCTTTTTGTGTTTATCAGTCACCTGATGATGCACATAAAAGGCTTTGTGTTTTCTATCATTTTATTTACAACACACTGATGACTATCACTCTTATTGCTTTCTTTATTGAAAGTAAAACAAATGCAAAAATTATTCAAATTTAAAAATAATTTTTAATAAATTAAAAATTCATATTCTGAGATTTTTTACATTAGTAATTTAGTTAATTAAAAAGAATAATAAAAATTAGTTTGTAAAATTTCGTTTAACTTCATGTATTGTCTATTTTGTTATGTTATGTTTGCCCCTAAATTGTAGTTATTTAGTTATTAACCAGTCTAATATTTATAACGAAATCTTTTAATCTTTATTTGCTTCATCTTTGTAATATATGAGTTTTATCGTAATTTTTGGCGTTTTATGGTCGTATTTTTATATATTTTTAAGTGCAATAAACTAAAGCGATTTTGAAAACTTTTGATTTGAGGAATTTAGAAATTAAAAACGTTTCATTATTTCTTTCACACTATTAAGAAGACAATAATTTATTTAAGTATTTTGAAATTAAATTATTCTCTTTTACTTACATTTCAATATCAAATGCATTTTCGATGATCATTATTCTTTTAATATTTGTATTGCATGCTACATTTTCAGTTATTCATATTAAGGTTCTCAATTGGCTTTTGATACGAACCAAAAAATATATAAGAGTTAAATTGTTGTTAAATTTTAATTAATATAATAATGGTTTTTAAACTGTGGAAATTGTTGATGAATAGACGTGCGAAGAGTCTCATAATATATATTTAGCTAGATAACAGTAGGAATTTCATAAGTAAGAGTCTATGAGCAATTCTTCGATAGGTTACACTTGTTTATATTAAACAATAAAATGCTTCTAATTATTGGAAGTTTAAAAGTACTTTCTATTAAATAATCAATTTCAAATACAAAGTATTGCTGAGAGAGATTTTTTGTTTATTACTTCACTTTTATTCTTCAATATTCCTAAAGTAAATTCAACTGGATCAGTAAAGCTTATCAGATACCAATAACTATTATTAATGATAATTTGTTTCTACTTATTTGTGTCTCTATAAGTTTGCCATTATTAAATATTGTTGTTGTCGTCTATTATGTTTGTGAAACTTCCATTACATCATTTAAAAATTAAGCTAAAACTTTTAATGCTTGACATTTCAAACAGAAAACGAATAAACAAACAAAATAAAAAAATATTCACTCATACAACCTGCAAAATTTCCTCCTCTACTCTCCTTCTTTCTATTCCTAAACAGGATCTTTGTGGCGTTATGTACGTTCATCCATGTCACTCAGCGGTTATATGCCGCCTTTGTGTGATCCCAAAGATGGACATTTACTATTGGATGGTGGCTATGTCAATAATTTACCAGGTAATTTAAAGTATTTTCTACGATTTGAGATCAAAAAATAACAAAAAAATTTATAAAAAATTTACAAAATTTAAACAAAAATGCAGAAAAAGGAAATTATATTTTTGATCATTATTATTATTTATTTTTTTTTGAATTTTTATATAAAATTATTAATTGCATCTTTTAGAGAATTTTATTTAAAGTATTAAGTAAGTATGTATACCTACCTACCTAGTTTTAGTTTCTTTAGACGGTATTTAGTTTTTTTATTAATAAAAAGTTACAAAATATTAATATCAAAACCAATTTCTTTCTTAAAATAAAAATGTAAAAAAACTCAGAATGTGTCTTATAATCAATATAAATCAATAATTAACCACTTAAATAGAAAACCACAATGAAATTTTAATTTTTTCCAATAATCAAGCAATAATCAATACACCAACCATACATAATTTACTCATTTTATGTATTTACTTTTTTTAACTTGTAATAATGTACCAAATAAATGATTTCAGTTGATTTATTTCTTTGTAATATTGTACTACAACACTTTCCTAATTTGAAATCATGTCATTTTGCAATATTTTTTTCTTTTTTATTTTCGGTACGCTGTTACGTTTTTCTTTTTATTTTGTCGTTATTGTGTCTCGTCCTTTAGGTCACTTGTGGCGTTATGTACGCGCCAGCATGTCTATTGCTGGTGTTTTTCCACCGTTTTGTGATTATAAAGATGGTCATTTATTACTTGATGGCTGTTATACAAATAATGTTCCAGGTAATGTTGTTTATTTTACAACTATTTTGTAATCAATATAAATTGCTTTTCGGTATCTATCCCTATGGTTTGGTATACATAAATATAATTTATATTTTTATTAATTATTATAAAATTTATTTCTATATATTGCATGCAAACAATGTCTGATTATTTTTATGTTTTTTAAAAAACTTCCGCACTGCATTTTTGTTTAAACTATTGTGAGTTAACAAAAAAAAAACGAATATTACAATTTAGTTTTATTTGAAAAACAAGTTGTTATAGAATACAATTCCCTAATTTTTATTATGGTAAAATATTACTCATACTATCCGTAGTACACATGTGCATATACATATTTCTTACATTTAAAAGGATATACGTGACGTATACGCAATATTTTAGTTTTTATTAAAAAAAAACTTAACAATTACACAATACATATTTGGAAATTTTCAACTAAATTAAAGAATAAAGTATTTTTCATAACTTTAAACAAATTTAATTATAACAACTTGTTAAAACAATTTTTACTGTAATATTTTAGATACTAAAAAAAAATCCCGAAAACCTGTAAATATTCTCCAGAAAAGTAAAAAACATGTATTTTTATTAAATAATTTTTGTAAAATAATATCTTTGTTTAGCCGATGTAATGCATAATTTGGGAGCTGCACATATTATAGCCATCGATGTCGGTTCGCAGGATGATATTGATTTAACAAATTATGGTGATGATTTATCCGGTTGGTGGTTGTTATATAAAAAATGGAATCCATTTACATCTCCCGTCAAAGTGCCCGATCTGCCGGATATACAATCAAGATTGGCTTACGTTTCATGCGTGCGACAACTAGAGGTATGCTTAAACATTTAAACATTTACCATTTTATTTCAAAGCTATTAATTATTTACATTTTTTAGGAAGTTAAAAATTCCGATTACTGTGAATACATACGACCACCAATAGATAAATATAAAACGTTGGCCTTTGGCAGTTTTGATGAGATACGTGATGTTGGTTATGTTTTTGGTAAAAACTACTTCGAAAATATGGCCAAAGCTGGACGCTTGGGACGTTTTAATCAATGGTTCAATAAGGAGCCACCTAAAAAGGATAATCATGCCTCGTTAAGTGAATATACCTTTATTGATTTGGCGCAAATTGTGTGCAAATTACCCGAAACTTATGTGGATCATCCGCAACAGCATCATACCTATTTCTACAGCGAGGATGAGGATTATGATGGTTACATATCAGAACCATCGAATTATAATAGAGTAAGTATAATGCATGGATGACAATAATCAAAAATTCATCCAACAAATTTAACATTTACCTTTTATCACATTTTAGAATCAAATAAAAATGAAACGTACCGGTACTTCATTATCTTTGTCGGAAAACGAAATGGATTCTGATATAGAAGTTGATCTCACGTTGGCTATTAAACAACATCAAACAAAATCAGCCCGCAGTACACCTCAATCACCCGTAAATGTAACAAACATCTTTAATACCATCGATAATATTGATGGATACCCTAAAGCGAATTCAATAAAATCTCCACCAACATTAGAATATTTAAACTCAAGATCATCATCGTCCACCACAACCCAAGAAAATGAGGAAAAAGACAAAAGTGAAATGGAAACTGAACATCCACAAGATGAAAAGAGCACAATACAAACTGTAGCATCATAACCTTTAATCTTTACAAATTAGTTTTTATATTATCCTTCAGTTTTATCATTTCACCAACCGAAACTATGTGAGATACTCAAATCACAACATCAATCAAAGACTTGTTAAACGAAAATAAAAAAAGAACTGATGATGTATGAATGTTTCTACTTCTATTTGCCATTAATTGTTGAACAATTTAAAAAAAATCTTTATTTCTTTTTCGTTTGATTTCATTTAATTAATATTTCTTTTCATTATTTTTTTTTAGATAATTAAGTGAAATATGTTTTATTTTTTTTAGTATAAGTTCTTACAAAACAGTTGATAAGGGTTATATTTTGTAAGTTAATATAAAATATTTATGATTTTTATTGTTAATTTTTCAAATTATGTATATAATGAAAGCGGCAAATGATCTTTCTCTTTTTAAAGCAATGCACAAGATATTAAAGAATTTCATTATTAAATTTCAATTTTTTTTAATAGTATACAAAAAAAAAATACTTACAAAAATAAAAATATCTTTAAAATAAACAAACGAACAAATGCATTTATTTTCTAACACAAATTTTATATTTTCATTTAAAATTAATATTTATTTCAGAATATTTACAAATTGTTTTTTTTTTTTTTTTTTTTGTTTTCTTTTTATCATTTTCGTTTTATGTGGGTCTGTCCATTTTATAGAGGTTTGGGAGAGTTTTATGAGCAAAAACAACCAGCTGCTACAGTTACTGTCTTAAATTTCCATATTTGCCTTAAATTATCTGGTAATAAGGCCAAACTCGGATCTCTTTGCATATTGTCCCTTAGGGTGCGAAATGTCAATACATTAACTTTGTATTCCAGAGGTCGACATACTGAACCACTCCAACATTTTGGTCCCAACTCATTGCGTGAATGTTCGGAATGACAAATAGCATGAAGCAAATATCTTGGGAAATGATGTTGTCCCAAATCTAATACATCATTCTATAAGAAGAAGAGAAGGTAAGTTATTAAAGTTAATAAATACATAATAATTGTCCATTACCTTTATTTTGCAATCACATCCCCTGGCTGGTGAATTACCATTTCTTTTTGTCATATCTTCCTTGTTGGTTTCCACAACCAAATCATTATAGAAATCTTTGTAATTTGTTTCTGGAAATATATTCAAATTTGTTGGAATAATTTCTTCATTTTTTGAATTTTTTTGTGGCGTGAAAGGTTCAACTCCAAAAACGTCATCAAGCTCAGGAATATTTTGATATGATTTCATAGCATTCGTATTATGCATTAAATCATCATTATTATCGTATGCCAAATAGTTGGTTGGATTTTTTAATAAATTAACAAAATTATCATTACATTTACGAGACATTAAATCACGATCAAAATCCAAATTGTTACCGCACGGCAAATCGATTTGTTTTTCTGATTTATCATCTACACTTTTTAATTTCAAATCTTCCTCAATGTTGCCATTAAATGAATCTATGTTATTATCATCACTGAGTGATTTATACGAAGGAGCGTATAATGTCGTAGACGAAGATCTCAATAAACGATTGTCCATTAAACGATTACCACAAATAACACCGAATAAAACTGTTACCAATATAAAAGTGGTCTGTAAATATTACAAAAATATTATTATTTAATATTAAATTATTCTTTAGGTATTTTTCTCACCTTAGGCATAATGACCAAGTCTAACTTGTTGTGGTCACTTAAGAACAACTTCTGTTCTCTATATTAGCCATGTTATCAGCTTTTATAGATTTTTATACCATTATAAATACATATGTATATAAATAAGATAAAGAAAGGATTTATCTATTGTTTGGAATTTCTTGCATCAAATTACTTATTGTTTGGTCTTCGTTGTTATAATTAATGTATTTTATATTTAAACTTTCATTCATATTTCCATTATATTCAGACAACCACTGTCTAAGCATACTGTTAAGGTGTGTTTTAATGGGTTAAATCTTTTTACGTCAAAATATTTGGCTTTTGTTCTTATCAATGAATTTTATTTTTGGCAAGGATGTTTTTTAATTATGAATGGACATGTGTGAGCATATTAAAGTTTTTTGCAAGAGTAATTGATATACAAATTAACCTTGAAAGTAAAAGATTTGTAAAAAAATAATTTTCATATTCAAAGAGTATGGAAATTTTTTAGGCATTTAGCTTATGGTCTTCCGCTTTGACTTTTTAGTTTTTTGTTGAAAAATATGAAAATTAGTGGCATCAAACATTTTTTACAGCATTTTCTCAGACTGGGTTTTACAGATCTTATACTTTTTCAATTTTTTTCCTTTTAAAATCCATTTAAAATTTACATAGTCCTAAAGAATTTACTTGAAATGTCTTAAACCTATATTTCTAAAATAAAAACTTAAATTATAAATAATAATCTGTTTTTAAACATTTTTAAAAATATTTCTTTAAAAACAACAAAAAGCCACAATTTCCCATAATGGGGGTTGTCGAACATATTGATACACATATAAAATAAAATTTGAAAAAAAAAAAACAATAAACTATAGAAAAAATAACATATAAGAAAATAGACATTTATAAACCATCGAATAGTAAAACAATTTCTAAGGCTTCTTCTGGTCTAATGTACGAAAGTTAAAAAGTACAAAAACAAAAACATAAAAAAAAGAAATCCACGACTTTTAAAGAAACTAAACTATTCCCTAATTTAGTCTGGTCGGTGCTGTTGGCGGTGCAATATAGAATTAAAAATTTAAACTTAAAATTATTAATATTTTTTAAAAATACTTAAGAGAAAGCTTTAACCATTTATAAATATTATTGTAAACATAATAATGGTGCTAAAAAAATAGTTTCAAAATATTCACTTTAAGTTGGAAAAAATTATATAAATTTAAAGAAATATAAGAAAATCAATTTAAAAAATAAAATATATGTATATGTATAATAACGATTAGTTTATATTCACTGCTAAAGTCCCCTCTAAAACTCAAAGTGAAACCTTATAAATGAATTTTGAAAAAAATGGAAAACTAAACTGAGGCAAAAATACCAAAAGAAGCAAAACAAAAAATGTTTAAAAAATATTTTAAACAAACAAGAATGGAGCAGCACACGTACTAAACTCATGCATCTTTAAAAAATCTTAACAAACACACACATACACAATAAATTTGTCTTAATTTATTGTTATTAATTTATAAGTTAAAATACTAAATTTTAGTTAGTTTATTTTATTTTGATTTATTCAAATAAAATAAAAATTAAATATATTTCCTGTTTTGAATGGAAAAAGGCACAACTATGAAAAGGAAGCAACGGCGTTACAGGTAAAATCATTTATCAATATTCTTCAAAATGAATAACATATCGCTTATTTACTACAAGACTGGCATAGTCCACAAAAAAGTCGTTTCGAGACTTTTTAAACAAATCATGGTATTTGTAAAATTAAACCAGATTCAAATGTTAGAGTTAGGATTACGACAGTCTTGTAGTAAATAAGAGATATGTATATTTGAAATTGTTTCTTATACATACTATATATTTGCAATATAGGTGTGCACTTGTCATAAAAAGGTTTCCATTATAAATATTTTTGAATAAGCGCCTGCTTGTCTAACTGTCGGTCTGGCTAACCTTGTACAAGTACACGAATCATATCACATATGCCTGAGTACTTACGTATACATCTGTATTAGTTGGTATAGTACACAGTTAGTTTGTCAGCCAGTTAGTGAGTTAGTTAGCATGTTAGTATGTTAGTTAGTGAGTTAGTTAGTAAGTTTGGTAGTTAGATAGTTAGTTAGTTAGTTAGTTAGTTAGAGTAGATAGATAGATAGATAGATAGATAGATAGATAGATAGATAGATAGATAGATAGATAGATAGATAGATAGATAGATAGATGGATAGATAGATAGATAGATAGATAGATAGATAGATAGATAGATAGATAGATAGATAGATAGATAGATAGATAGATAGATAGATAGATAGATAGATAGATAGATAGATAGATAGATAGATAGATAGATAGATAGATAGATAGATAGAGATAGATAGATAGATAGATAGATAGATAGATAGATAGATAGATAGATAGATAAATATATAGATATATAGTTAGTTAGTTAGTTAGTTAGTTAGTTAGTTAGTTAGTTAGTTAGTTAGTTAGTTAGTTAGTTAGTTAGTTAGTTAGTGAAATTTCACTGGAATCGGACTAACCGCTTAGAAGTTACAGAATCATTTCCCTCCTTATTTCTATACCACTGTGTATTGCCCATTCACTAGAAGACTGGCATAATTCAAAAAAGTCCTTTTGAGAAAAACGACATTGCGTGTTTAATAACATTTTACTATTTTTAAATAACTTTTAAACAACTTAAGGGATTTGAAAAATTAAACCTGATTCCGATAGAGGAGATTGATGTGTTCATTTATTCGTGAAAATATGTATTTTAGTTTTTACGATACAACAAAAAAAAATCGACCTAATATCCACCAGTAATTATCTAATTTTAATGAAAAACCTAAATCGGCTTTTTTTGGTAAAATGTCTACCAAAATTTATGTTTCTCGGCATATTTAAATGATTTGGGCATTAAAAAAATATTAAACTTTTACGATCATAGTGAAGTAAAAACTTACCATGTCCAACGAAAGGCAATGCAACAATTTTCTTCAGTTATATGTATGTATATAATTTAACAACGTTTCGTATACCAAAACAAAAATGATATTTTTAGTAATGAAATAGAAAAACAAATAATCTAAAGAATTTATGTTATTTGATGCGTAAAAGACTGTTTAAAAAGAAATATAGTTTAAGACGAAAGAAAATAACATCAGTTACATCATAAACCACACAAACCAACATTACATGGGGCCAGCGGAATAGGACAAATCGTTAATCCTTATTTTTATTTTTAAATGGCTTTTTATAAATTTTTGAATAACTTTGACTTTAGGACACTATTAGTCACCCCTATATTTGCAGAACATGTATGTAATACAATGTATATGTATTTATTTTTCATTTGATATGTGTATGTAAGTGGGTTCTGAAAAGTACTAATACAAGCTCAGGTGGTAAATACAATGAATATATTAACACAAAAAAAAAACCCCTGAAATTGTTACCAGATATTTTCTAAGCATTATTAACGTTTCATGGAATTCTCCCCACATTCATTCGTGTGAATTGTTTTAGATATACATTTTCCAGCAATAGATAGAAAGATAATACCATACAATATTGTTTATTTTCTTCTATTATTTATTTTATTCTTTTATTTTCTCCTTGCAATATTTCCAAAATTACTTAGAACGACTTTCAATACAATACAATTACAAGAATTGGAAAGAGCTTTTCAACGTACTCATTATCCAGATGTATTTTTTCGTGAGGAATTGGCTGTGCGCATTGATTTAACCGAGGCTCGAGTTCAAGTATGGTTTCAAAATCGTCGTGCCAAATGGCGTAAACAAGAAAAAGTTGGGCTTAAAGACGGCGAGGATATACAATCTTATGATGATAGTGTCATGGCACATCTGGATCAACCTTTAGGTAGGTTAAGCGATAGGTTTGATGATAAATTAGTATTTTAATTGTTAATTATTATTTAGGTACAACATTGCTACCTGATACTCCGCCGCAATCCTCAAACTCTCTAGACAATGAAAGTAAAACACCCTTTAGTCATGAGAATGACAGTGCTGGAGATAGAGCAGATGATAGTATTGTCGGGGATGGTGGGGTTACAACACCTTCACGTATGTCTCCCAATATATTTCTTAATCTAAATATTGATCACATGGGTCTAGAACGGGGTGGAAGTTTGTCAATGGAATGGTCAACTTATCCTCCCTCTACATTAGCAAACAACAGTTTGGTAGCAATGCCTTCCACATCGACAAAATCACCACCACTTTCATTTCAATCGCTACCACCTACCTCTTCATCATCGATGATGAAAACTCAAGATGAACTTATTCTTCAACAGCACCAACATCAGCAGCAGCAGCAGCATTGCGATAATCAAAATGTACAGAACCTAATCAGTGATAGTTGTTTCAATGGCTCTTTGGATTTAGTTGATAACAACACTTCCACCTCAACATATGATGAAATGAAATTCTTAAATGTTGATCAATACACCATTGAACAATTGAAGGCCGAGTGTATTTTAAATATGGATCAAACATTATCTCTGGACGATGGCGAAAAGAATCAACATATTAATTTACAAAATTCCCTCACACAAACATTGTCATTTGAACATTTACAACAGCCATTAAATCAAGTATCCTCCCACAGTCATCATTCAATGTTTCAGCATGAACAAACCCAAGAAAGTGATCAATATATTCTATCCAACAATTGTCATCATCAACACCTTCAAAATATAAATACATCTCACATACAAATGCAAAATATGCAACAATTTAACAACGATCCACTGCATCAACATCTGCACTCGTTAAGTATGGATTTACCCGTATTCAGTTTGACGGGCATGGGTTCTAAATCACCACCTCTACTGACATTAGATAAACCTTTGTCATTGAACATCGGTGTGGATGGTATTAGTGATTTAGTAGATGATAAATTTTAGAATATAAACTTTTAGAGAATAAGGGCGGGTATATCTTTTAAGTTACAAATATTCCATTCTGCAATCATTTTCAATTGTGTCATGATGCATTCTCTTGGAAAATTTTGTCGTTTTATTTGAAGATATTTAAATTCCTTCATTTAAATTAAGTAGTCTATTAACTACATAGCCTATAGATTAGGCTATTGACTAATCTATTATCTATTCAATTAACAAATCTATAAACTGTTCTATTTAGTAAATAGAATGAATAGAATGACAGGTAGAAAAATGGCTCCAGATTTTTATTACAGAAATTCCAATTTATTGCCTTAATAGGTTATCGTGCTAAGAATTGTAAATTTCTACGATACAATTGAAAATGGTTTAGTAAAAGGTTGTGTAAGGATGGTTCTTTCATAATTTTTGTTTATGTATTTATTTATCTTTTATTCTAGTCAAATTTTGTAAATTAATTTAAATTTATTAGTTTAATTTGTATGTTAAATACAACTTTTTATTTTAATTACAAACAAATATAAATTGAATATACATACATTAGTTATAATTTATTTGCACTAAAATTTTAGTCTAAGAAGATAATTGTTTCATAAACCTTCATACGTATGTACATACTTAAATATGTATGTATATTGTAGTTAACGAAAAAAAAAATAACATTCAATTAAACAAATTCTACAATAAAATAATGATTTTTAAAACCGTCTAAAATAACATGGTAAAAAATGTTTAGTAACTATTTTTGTATCCATTTTAATCTATAACAATTTCTATTAATAATGCAATACTTTTGCATATTTAATATGATATTGGCATGACCCAATTTTATAGGAATCATATACTTTGTCTTTGTTGGCAATAACACAATACAATTTCTACTTTTCACAATGAAACATTTCCTTGTTTTTATCGCATGGAATGTGCTCTTGCTTTCTATGGCAAATGAAACTAAATATTGTCATGAGATTTTCGAAGATAAACATGTGAAAAGAATTAGTTGGTTATACTTAAAACAGTGTCTTACAATAATCAACGGAGAGGACATTTCAAAAGATATTGGAGAAAATATATGGCGTTTAATGAAAATTGTTAGTATTAATAATAAAAATTAATTTAGTCTTCTAATAGGTTTAAGTATTTTAATTGTAGGCATTTGATTCCTTGGACAATATACCAGCCGATTCATACAAATATATGGGTTATTCCTTAACGTTTATACCTATTAAAGAATTGCGTAACATAAGCATGGAAAATGTGGATGTAGTAGAGGCATTTGGTGCTATACGTTCTTCCCTTAATAAACAACATCAAGATGGTTTTGAGACAGAACAATTAAATATTCTAGCACAAAAAGTACGTGAAGAATGGCAGGGAAAAAATCCTTTTACCTATTCAGAATATGATCTCAAGTCCATGGGAGAAATTCTATGCTATTTAAATGCAACCGATATTGAAAATATACATGCCGATGCATTTAAGTATGAAATTAAATAACAAATATTATTAATGAGAATCTTTAAGTTTACATAATGTATTATATTCTGAAATTTTGATATAGGGAAGCGGCTGAATGGATTGGAATGATAGAAAAGTGCCCTAAGGATCGTTTACAGGCCCTAGCAAATCTTGCTAAAAGGCCTGAAGCATTTGGCGAACCCCAGAAATGGTCGAAAATAGATGTTTGTGCACAATCAGTAGTAACTTTATATCATATTGACTTCAAGTCCCTACTTTTTCAGGTCAGCATTATAGGCAACATTTTAAATGGTTTAACTGCTTCAGAAATTAACTCAATAGCCCCAGACAAACTACAATTAAATACATTTTATACAACTTCAAATACAAAGCAACCATCTATAAACAGAACTCGTAAGGACAGAAAACCCCTTACACCAATCGAGAATTCTACACAATTATTTGAAACACATACAAATAAAACAGATTACTAAAGTTATTATGCATAGTTATCTCATAAATACATTATTTATTAATATATGAAATTAGTGTTTATATTTTGAATAAAATTAAAACAAATTTACAAAAATTCTTAACAAAATTACATACAAAGTACGAATAGATGAAATGTTAAACAATTACCCTTCCCAATTCGTTTAGTTAGATATAGTAAATATATTTGAAAAATTTATCTTATAAATAATTTCAAATTTAATAAAGCTGCATAAATATATAATGATGAATGAAATTATAATTAAACATCATCATTGGTTGCTAAAGCTGATAATAATTGAAATTTAGCAGCAATGAATTTTGTTTGTAGTTTATAAAAACAAGAATAACACTTAAACGAGAAAAGTAATAGAATAAAAATAAAAGATAAAAAGATAAAATATTAACTTATTATAGGTAATAAATTTATGAAGAAGATAATAAACTATTACGTGAACTTGGACGTTCAATGGTCATTGTTTGTTGTGGTACTTGGCTATCGGGGCTAATACCAAGGCCGGAATATATTTCCTTCATAACGAATAATATAGTATCCTCGGAATCCCTAAAAAATAAATAATACACATTATAAATCGAAATGTTACTAAAATAATTTTTACTCGTATAAAGAACTTCACATACCAATAACACACATGACTGCTTAAAGCAAATATATACTCATTAATGAACTCCAATGGAGCTTCTTGCAATACATAATCAACACGCTTGGAATCGTTAAGTTTGCCCAAGGGCAAGTCGATTTCTACCACATCATCGGACATATGGGTAGATACTGAATCGGTTCTTGGTCGGGGAGCAGCAGTTGCTCCGTTGTGTGAATCGTTTCCAGATGTTAATTTGTCATTGGAGTTTTGATTATGGTTTTGTTGCTCTAATTCCATTTGCATTTGAATGACCTGCAAAAAATGAGAGTAAAATATTGTTTCATGAGAAATATATTTTTTGTTGAATATTAAATTTGAAACTAAATCTTACCTTATCAACTTCTTTTTCCATTAACTCTTCAGCTTCTTTCGTAGATTTGGATGCGGAACCAAATATGTTAACACTGTCCAGAGTCGTTTTAAATTTATCTAAGAAACGATTTTTTAAATCCATGCTAACACGTGTCATAGTTTCTTTTAATTCTAAATGCATTCGTTTGCGTCCTTTATGATGTGGAATCAAAACAGGACGTACACCACTTAAATCGGGATTAACTAAAGCTTCAATGCGATAGGCAACAGGATCATAAGGATGGAATATATTATAGAAACCGGGACAGGTTGGCAGGCGGAAATCTAGGCCCAACTTATCAATGCCTCGAATGGTAACAAACATACCTTTAATGAATAAAAGTTAGTAACAACTCACTGAAAACAATAAATGTGTGTTTTACCTATGGGTGAACCCAAAGCAAAGAACTTTTTAGGTTGGAAAATTAATTGACCGTAATTGATGAAAGGTTGTCCAGTTCCAGCCGGTCCCATAGTGTAGCTTATTTGCTTATTATCTTCTAGTTGATTCGAATCCATTTGGGTGTTAGAAGTGGATGGAGTTAAAAATTCATCTGGATTTTCAAGATTTTTTTCTTCACTCTCTTTTATGGGATTTTGATGACAAAGCAAATCGAAAAGTATGAGAGAGCCCAAACTATGACCAGCCAATGAAACGCCACCATTAAATTCAGGATGTCTTTCGCGATATTTCAAATATAAAGTATTCATCGATTGAACGATTGTATTCATAATTTTTTGACAAAATGTGGGGCTAGTATAGAAAAGTATATCCAATAGGGTGTCGTTGGTGAAATTCCTTAATTTAGGTATGGATTCTAATGTAATCATACGTAATTTTTCATCTATTCCCATTTCAACGGAGTGTAAATGACTGTGCCAGGATATTGGCAGAACTTCAACGCGTCCAACCAAACCCAAATCAGTAGAGTTTTTATAATGACTCTGAACCAATTGGCGAGCAATAGTACGAAAATCTTCAACTGCATAGTAAAAACAAAACGTGCATCATTTTGTAAAAACTATGGAAACTTTTTAACTTACCAACTTCTTCTACAGATCTTAACTTTAAATCACAAGCGGAGCCAATGCCATGTACCATAAACAATAAATGGTCTACCTTTTGCGATTCACCCTGTTCAATATTAAAATCATCCAAGTCCCGTTTAACAACGCGAGGTCTAGTGGCAGTTTGCTGTTTTTTTTTCACAAAGGAAACATATTTAGTTAATTTCTAATTAGAGAAAAATAAAACTTACCGTAGTTCCACCCCAGGCATCAGCATTTTGTTGTTGTTGAAAGTGTACTATAACTGTGGGACCATGAAATACTACTTGTTCTCCCATGCCCAAAATAATTGTTTTATGCCAAACTCCACTCTCAGCGGCTTGTTTATATTCGTTTTCTAATACCTCGGCGGTCTGTTCCTCATACGGAACATATTTCGAATCAACGGCTTTGTAGAACCAGGAACAACGACGCACTTCAATTGGTTCACTTTCCCAATATACGCTCATTTTCTTGCGTTCACTTATATTGACGTCATAACGACCACCCTCAACAGCAACTATATTTGGTTTTTCATTTTCTAGAAAAACGCGATATGTGAATTTGTACATACTCTCAGCCTAACTTAACTACACTTACCATTTTCCATTAAAAGACTTGTTTCCAGAAGAGCTGAATCATAATGACTGAATGGAACCCAAATTTGTTTGTCACTTATGGTGCGTTTGAAAAACCAATGTTTAACAGCTGGTTTATAAGACTAAAATAAAGAAACCAATTAAATGTCATCTAATATATAAATAGTTGCTTAAACTTACCACACTGGCCGAGGTAGTAGCAGATTTATCATTAGATAAAATATTCGCCATTCTTAATTCTTTTAAAATTTCCTCTGGTAGATCTTCGTAATGTTTAATGTTCGTATCCGTTTCTGTAGAGTCCTGTTCCAAAACTGCACTATTATCAACACTTTTGTTTTCCTCTTTTCCTACTGATTTCTCGCTACTCTCTGTTATGGATAAATTGGCCGCAATTGATTTTTGTCCTGCTGTGGAATTACTGAATTCCGAAAATTCCGAGCAAGCAGATGAAGGAGGTTCTACCAAGTTCGATATTGGTGTTAAAGAACGTTGTTGTATATTTTTAATACCTAAACCGCTGTGAACTAAATCGTAATTTAAATCACCCACAGCACTTGCGTCTTTTGGTGGTGGGTTATTGAAAAAATATTGTATACGTTGTTCTTCGTTTGTTGCCACACTAGGAGCAGTTACTTCAACTGTTTGTTGTTGAGATTGTGTTACTTGTTGGACAGGGAATGAATCAAAAAATGTTGCAGGATCTTTAGCAATTTCTTGCTCTTGATTTGTTTGATTGAAATAATTTGAAAATCTGTTGACAATTTCAGGCTGTTGATTTTGACTTGTAGTAGTTTCCTGTTGAACAGTAGTATTTGCTGGTTTTATAGGAGCAACAGGTTCTGATTGTGTGAAGCTTTCAAATCCTATAGGTGGTGGAACGTTGCCTTGCACGAATGCTTCGTTAAGCTGTTTGGTGATATCGTTTTTCTCCTCTAGAACTGCTGGTACTAATCCTAAACTTGTTGGTAGAGTAGGAAAGAAGGCAGTAATAGGTGGTTGTATTGGTGTGTATGGTTGAATAGGTATTAAATCTTGCTTAACATCTAAACCCGAGGGGCTTACATCAGTTTTGCCAACAGTGGTAAAAAAGTTAGTCGTATCTCCCTGTGCAGATTCTTTTGGTTGTGATAATTGTTGGTTACTTTCTTTATTTGGAGCAGGTTGAGAAAAGAAGTTAACTGCACTGCTAGAGTTATCCAAACTAGGTTCTGCAGCAGGCAATGTTGCAAAGAAATTAAGGTCGCCCGAGCCAGTTGATGGTTGAGGAGTAAAGAAGTTCGCCAATATTGGTTGGCTTACTGCTGGTTTTGTAGTTTCAGTAGCAGAACCTCTACGATATGGATTATTCGAGTTGTGTTGTGTAGTGATGGGCGGTAATGTTAGGGTTTTAGTCTCTGAAGATGGCTCAACTGTTAATGATAGCTTGCGTATTGTTTCTTCCAAGGGATCTGCTAATGCTTGGTTTTGTATTTCAGTATTATTATCTTCTACAACCGGTTCAATAGGTTCAATTACGGGTTGTGTATCTTTATTGTCAACGAATTGTGAATTTGTGTCTTGTGTAGGAACCTGAGTTTCAGATGAATCTAATAGTTTCGTGACTTCAGTAGTTGTACTGTGTTCTGGTACGTTAGTATTTTCTTTAGTTGGAGCAAAATACAAAGGGACAGTTTGTACTGTTTCGATAGATTTCTGTTCTGTTACAGGAGTTGCAAAGAATGGAACGTTTTGGGTTGGTGGCTCTATTTTACTGTCGCCTACTTGTGGATCATTCGAAGAAATACTTTCTATTGCTTCGTTAGATTTAAGATCATCAACGGATGGCGTAAACAGAGGAACACTTTGTGCTGTATCTTTTGTATCAGACGCAAATAAAGGAACACTCTGAGCAGAATTGTTAGTTATCAATTCTGCAGCAGGTGGAGGAGCAAACGAAGGTATACTTTGTATTGGTTCGTTAGTTATCAATTCTCCTACAGAAGGTGGTGCAAACAAGGCCACGCTTTGAGGTGTAGCAAAGCTAGGATTAGATTTTAATTCTCCTACAGTAGGAGGAGGAGCAAATAATGGAACACTAGCTTTAAATTCTTCCACAGGAGGAGCCACCAAAGGAACACTTTGATTTGTTCCAAAACTTGGATTTGATGTTATTTGCCCAACAGAAGTAGGTGGAGCAAATAAGGGAACACTTTGAGGGGTAGCAACAGTTGGTGGTGTAGGAAATGTAGGTAAAGATTGATTTATAACATGAATAGGGGCAGTTTCTTGTGGGGTTAAAGGATTTTTATAAAGTTTAGTTCCCTTTTGTAAACGGTAAGATGTAGGTCCACTTGCAGGCGGAGGAACTTTATGATCTACAGTTGGTGGTGGAAATTGAGGTGTACTTTCTTGGTTACTTGATGGTAAGTGCTTTGTTGGATCAAATAAAGCTACTGGAGAAACACTATCTAATGTCGGTTGTGTAGGATTAGATTGCGTTGGGTTGAAAAATGTTGGAACAGACTGTTCATTTGCATTTGGTGGCAAATGTGAACTGCTTGGGCGTGATGGAGGCCTAGATGGGGGTTTTTGGATTTGCGAAGGTTGATTGCTAGGAATCGAATTTATTTGAGGTGGCAAGTTAGATGGATTAAAGAAGGAAATTTGAGTTTGTGATGTCTCTGTAGATGAAGATGTCTTACTTTGGAATAAAACTGAAGCTGGTGGTAGTTGCGCTGTAGTAGGTTGTGGATTGAAAAAGTTATTTGACTGCGTATTAGAATTACTATCATATGGTGTGAAAGGAGTAGGTTCAGATTCTTGGCCAATAAAGAATGAAGAAGGTTGGTTATTTTGGGAGGTCGATTGCTGACCACTTAACGAAGGTGGCACGAAATAGTTTGTTGGTGGAGGTGGTCCAGTAAAATAGTTATTTTGTTGATCAACAACTGGAGCAGGGGGTTTATTTTGCGTTAAGGATCCTGTCGCAGATTGTACAAGACCTGTGATATTTTGCAATACACCTGCTGGAGCAAGACTGCTTATTTTTGAAAATAAACCACTATTATTTTTACGTTCTTCAGTTTTTTGCTCATCGGCCGTGGGATATTGTGATTGTTGATAATAATTGTTTGCGGGGTTTCCACCGTACGAGGTGTCGTAAGAAATTGGAGCACTTACAGTTGATGGATCTAATGTAGTAACTGGATGGGCAGTTTGATCTGACAGTCCAGGTATTGGAGCGTACAATTTCTTTTTAGAAGAAAAACGAAAATTATTTTGTCCACCTACATTAGCGGGGGGAGCCCCACTTGCTGACGGTATTGAAGGAACTTCAGCCGGTGTGTAAAACTTTGGAGGTTCTACTGGTTGTGGTGGTACACTTGTCTGTGTATCTTGAGTCAATGTGTCAGGTGTACTAAATTTTAGTTTATGTTTAGAAGATTCTTGCTAAAAAAAAGTATTTATATTTGAAACTTACCTCGCAAAATAATTACCACCGGCAGGTGGTGCATTAAAGGGTGGAGGTGCTTGAGGTAAACCTGCCTGTTGGTGATGTTGCTGTTGATTGTAAGTTGGTTGTATATCCAATTGTGGAACTAAAGGATTACTATTCAAATCCTGTTGACCTTGATCATATGTTGGTGTTGTTTCTCGACTCGAAATGGCTGTTATGCGCTTGGAAAATGTTGAAAATACATTAGAAGCCACCGAAGGCAAAGCTGAGAACGAAGAAGCCGCTTGACTCAATATAGAATCACTATTAACGCCTGGATTTGTTTGTTCCAATAGGGGATTAGGTTCGTTGCTATCAGTTGTTTGGCTTTCTTCATTCGAAGCGTTTAAATTGATTTCATCAAGATTTTCGGTATCCAACGATGAAGATCCCAATGTTACCAATGATTTGTGTTCTGAAAATGAAGAATCAAGAGAAATATATTTTATTTAAGAAGCTTCAAGTTAATTTTTCTTAACTCTCACGGATTTATATTTGGTTTACAATTCAAATCTTAATTTATGTAATTTTTAACATTTATTTTGTTGGAAAAAACCCTCTATTATTAAAATTGGTTAATTACTTGATCTTAAATTAACAATTAGCAATTATAATTAGTTAACGTAATTATAGTGGTATTAAAAAATATGTATATAGTTCTAAACAAGTTACATTTCAATACAAATTTACCCTTTGTCTTTTAGAATATTTGGCCTTGATGTGGGGTAAAAACTAAATATGAAGAAGAAGTTTATAAAGAGTATTCTAACTTAAAAGTTGTTTATTAAAGTGTTGTTTTCGATGCAACGAAGAAAACCCCTTTAATAAATTGTATCTAATAATAAGTTATTCTTCAATTATTATTTACATTAGATATCCATTACAACAAAATATAGAAAAATAGTTTTTTATTAATTTCGTGAGAAAAGTTAAATGAATTTTTACTTTTTTGTAATTTACTTATTTATTTTATTGTCTTGTTAAATATACGAAAAATGATTATAAATGTTTTAATTAATTTATCATTATAATTAGTTATGCATAAAATAACAAAAAAATAATAATTATAATAAAAATAAAAAATTATTGCAAATTACATATTGAACGTTCGTAAGGCAAATTGCGTCAATATTTACAAAATCAACAAAATCAACGCTGTGATTGTTTTAAAATGCCTGGTTTTAAGCAGTTTCTGATTTTGTTCATCGGACATTGACGATCGTAGTATTTAGAGTTTTCTTTAGGGTTAATGATTATTTAATTATACATTTTATTTGCATTTTATAGCTACATGTATGTAGTTATTGCACGTTTTATGGATTCTTTTTGCTTAAATTGTAAGCGCGTTTTGTGTTTATAAGTCATAAATTAAAGAATTATTAACAAATATTATAAATATGTGTTTATTTTTTGTAAAACGCAGTTATTTTGAAACAAATTTAATATATAAAATAAACTACGTTATAAAGCTTTTTAAAATTCAGGACACAATACGTGTATTTTTTTTTTTTTTTTTTTTTTTTTTTTGTCGATTGTGGTTTTTTCTAAAACTGATGTCATTTAATTTTGATTTTTTGCTTGTTTTTATGAAAGTGTTAAGTAATGTTAAACAAAAATACTTTAAATACAGATATAGAATAAAGATATATGTTTAGATAACAAAACCGTTAACGTCATACATTTGAGTAGGATCTAAATTAGTTTTTGACTATTTCTGCGTAGAAAAATTACTTATTCCCCAAGTATAAAATGAATTTGTGGTTGAAATTTGAATTCTAATTATTATGTGGAAAATCCCTTATTTAAAGCTGTAGAAACAAAAACAGCAATCTCCATTTTTTTCACGGCCTAAGCATTTGACATCGATTTTCGTTCAAGTAAGTAGTAGGAAGATGGAGATTGCTAACTTTGTTTCTACACCGCTCAATTATTAATATGCATCAGCTGCTGCATAAAATCTAAACTAAATTTTAGAAAACAATACTGTTTAATCTCATTTATTTCCAGATTTACTTCATTAAACACCTTCGCATTTTAGAACGAATTTTAATTGTCTTTTTATACCAACAATCTGGTTGCATTTTAAAATTCCACAATTTTATCAATTAAACGATATTTTTGTTTAGCTTAAAAAAGTATTTATTAAAAATTCTTAACAATAATAAAACAAAAATAATTACTTTGTATTTGAACCTGTTTCTTTTTTATTTTATTTTTTTTTTTTTCATAAGATTTACATACTTTTTGTTTAACACCTGACTTAAATTATTTGTATTTTTGTTTCGTTCGGCGGGTAAATTATAATCTTATACCTGTCCAATATAAAATTGATAAATTAAAAAAATATATAAAATAAATTATAATTTTACTTACTTGCCCCAACCACTTCATAAAAAACAACAATTAAAAGTAACAACAGCCGCAATACAAAAACAAATACATTTTATTTTAATTCTAAAGTTTTTTGTATTTTTATGAATTAAAGAAATAACGCGCAAAAAGTGTTAAATAATATATTTTATTAAATTTAAATGAGGATATTAAAAATAATTAAAAAATAGCACAGTAGGACTTTAGTATAATAAAATAACTAACAAAACAAATTCATTCCAATGGATTGATATTGTCACTACTTAGAAAGCATATCGATGTAACTGCTTCGAAATCGTCATCAATATATGTTTATGGGTTTGTTTGAAGTCTTTAGATTGGACCAATTTTCTTAAAATTTTCAACGTGTCTTCCTGTATGTCTGGAAGGAACTATGGGGTTCGAAGTTTCAAGTAAGCGAGGTGCCACGCCCACATACATATTTAGTATTAATAATAGCATATTTTAGAAACTGCATCAGCTCAAATTTGATATGGACAACTTAATGGACATCCATATGAACATTTGTTGACAAAAAGCGACCTGTCTATAGTGAGTGTGGCACCTCCAAATTCTCCAATATTGCACAGGCAACATTGAAAACCATGTGAACAATTTTGGGGAAAATTACCGGAATGGAAATTGGGGCTTGGTACTTCCCAAATCCGAAGAAATACCTAGACCACTATTAGGCCTGTTGTGCACTCCTTTTCATGGAAAATGTTTGTTGGTAACAACAAAAACCTTATACAGTATTCACTGAATATATTATCGTCCTATATTCAGAAACTCTGTTTCCTGGACGTATTTCCGAAACAACATCACTCCCAATATATTTGGATCTAATTTCGACCTTTCGATCTTTGTGGTTCTAACTACTGTTTCAATATTTCGAGAGGACTTGTGGGTTTCTCTCGCCATTTTTAATTCTGCCATCGTTGTGTCAATTAGTTTTTCGTTTGTCAGGTTAACTAGCTCCCTTCCCTTTAAATATATTACATTCGCTCTTTCCTTACATTCGCTTGTCCTGGTACCCATATGATGTAAACATTACCTCTGGAAGAGTATTAGGTTAGAACTTTCTTACAATCCAATACGATATTATATTTAACTCTAATTGCCTTCTGGCAATTCAATATGTGAGCGCCATTTTTATTCTAATCCAATTTACGCATTCTGTTATTGCTTGGACTTCTGCCTGGAAGCTGGTGTTGTGATTAGGTAAACGGTGGTATATTTCTGTTTCTTCAATATAGAACCTCAGGCCCACTATTTTAAAGCAATCTGTGTAGAAACGGATTCTTACGGGTATTTGCTCTATTGTTCCGCTTCACCAAGACATTAGATAGGCATTTCAAAGTTTCCCGTCCGATGATTGTACAATTGATTACATGTCCTATAACAGCTTTTGGCAGTTCGCCTAAAGTTATGTGCCACTGAATATCTTTTATATGTTTCAAAGGGTGGAATATATCTAGCAACATATACAGAGCCTTGGTTGACGTAGTACTCATGGAACCACGTATACACAAGCAGCATGTACGCTGAACTCCCAAAGAAGTCCACCAGATTAATTAAATAAGAATCATTCTAATTACACTTTTATAAAGCCAATGTGTCATAGTAGGATTAAGGACCAATTCCATGCCTATGGTTCTCCCACATATGAATTAAATACAAACATTTTTTATCTGGGAAAACATTAGAGCTAGAAATTTCGCAGGGGCAACATTGAAATCGATATGAACATTTGGAAAAATTATGACAAGTATGTGTAGTTGTTATATCAGTTCCACTGTTGTCGAGAAATTTTTCGTGAGAATCTTGTTTGAGCAATTGTTTAAAGAATGATCCTGTCTAGTTTGTGCTTATTGGGTTTTAAAGATCTATTCCTTTACATCCAAGTGGTAAATACAATTTCTTAAGTTTTTTGTGGGAAGTTCTTAATTGATCATAATTAATTCAGAATATGATAAAATAAATGATTCTTTTTAAATATAAAGCTTTCATATGACAACACATCAAACCGAACAAATTAAAAATTGTGGGGGCTTGAAACCATCTTTGGCGAAGAGCTGTTTAACTGCGTTTTTTATTTTATATTTTTAATTAACATTTACTTTTTTATTAGCAAAAATAATATATATAATTATATGCAAACTTTGTTATTTATACTTGTTTTTTACCGCTTGTTGTAATAAATCATTATAAAAAATACAAATATAAATAAATTATGTATTTAAATGTCATGACATTTACAATTTATTTAACCAAACAAGCCATGCATCGAAACAACCAAAACTTGGCCAAAAACAGAAACGATACAAAAACAAAAAATGAAGAAGACATTTAACATATCAATCCATATTCATCGATTAAGCACATTATTTGAAACAAACCTGATTACATGCATATGTACATTTTCACCAACAAAAAATTCTTCAAAATATAAATACCAGGAATACTATTCAAGTAAAGAGTGATTCATAAGGAGATAATAAAAACCAATTGAAAAAGTTATTTCAGTGAATTATTGGAAAAAGAACTGACACAAAACTTAAGAGCTACATATCGGTTCTAATTCTAATATAAATAAAAACTTTATTATAGACTAAATTAAAATTTTATTTATCTTCTCATTCTAGAATTTTCTATTGTATCCCGTTTGGAAAACCCTTTAGAAACAAAATACGTAATTTTATACACCAAAAAAGTCATCAGCCACAACAATCACATAAACAATTTAAATAAAAATAAACTACCAAATAAAAAAATTAAGAAAACAACAAACAAATGAATAAAATGTTAAATGAAAAAATGTTTAATTTTTTGGTGTTATTAAAATGCCGCCGGTTTAAAATATCTGGTGACTTTTTTCTTCAACGGAAAATTCAACCAAACGTGATGCATAGACATTTAAAATTTTTTTCAAAAATGTCTTTCAGATTTGGATGTTTGCGCTTTTTTATTATTTTTTGCATTCTGCTGTTACCTCGATCTTGAAACGTGATTTGAAAACCAAACAACCCAACAAAACACCTTTAA